AAATAAAGATATTGTGTCCAACTGCAACTAAAAAATAAATATTAAAAAATAATATATTTTTAAAAAGAATCTACTAATAAGACTCTAGAATATTCTCTAGTATTATTTTTTCAATCACTATAATTTTATTCCATGTCCCTTATAAAATGATCCTTCTAATAAATTCTTTAAAAATTTAGTGAGGGACAAGGCACAGTGGTGCACACCAGTAATCCCAATGTCTAGGCTGAGGTAGAAAGACCTCAAATTCGAAGCCAGCCTCAGCAATTTAGAGACCATCTCAAAGGGCTGGGGTCGTGGCTCAGTGGTAAAGCACCTGCCCAGCACATGTGAGGCCCTGGGTTCAATCCTCAGCACCACATAAAAAACAAACGAATAAAGTAAAGATATATATACATATAAAAGTTACCTCATTAAAAAAAAAAAAATCTGGGTTCAATCCCCAGTACCAAAAAAGAGAGACAAAGAGAGAGGGAGGGGCAGGGAGTGGAGATATAACTCATATGGTAGAATGCTTGCCTAGCATGCAGACAGCTTTGGGTTGGATCCCCCGTATCACAAAAATAAACATAATTTTTAATTTCAAATAAAATAAAATTTAGAGCCAGAAAGCTCTGTCAAAAAGGTAGAAATTTGGGCGGGGCTATAAGTTAGTTGGTAAAATGCATGCCTTGCATGCAGAAGGCCCTGAGTTCTAATCTCCAGAACCACAAAAACAAACAAAACAAAACAAAACAAAAAGTGGTGGAATATTTATCATATAATGATACTTATGTAGCCAGAGATGTTTCCTCTTCAGTCCTGGTTGAGTTAATTTAATACTCAATAACTAGTTTGGTCTATGGATCTGCTTTACCTCTCCTCTATGTTTTTTTGTTAATGTTTGTATGTTTTCCCTATTTGCTTCAAATCTCTGTTGAGCAGAAATAACAATAAACCTTTAAAAAGATGATTATTTCCAATAAACAATTTAGTTAATAAATTCTATGTTAGAATAAGCCTACCTACGTAGCAATGTTAGATAAATAAATATAACATCTTTTCTCAAAACCATTAGAAAAAAATCACAGTCACTAAAATTATAGTTTTACGAGCACACACCTCTAATCCCAGCAACTCAGGAGGCTTGCAAGTTCAAGACCAGCCTTAGCAACTTAGCAAAACCCTGTCACAAAATAAAAACTCAAAAGGACTGGGGAACGTATCAGTGTAAAGCACCCTGGGTTCAATTCCCAATACCAAAAAAAAAAAAGATTACAGTTTTATATGCTATATAAATAAATGTTGAAATACTTATTTAATTCATACTATTAAAATTAACAACAAATAAATAGCAAGTTAATTATAACAGACAATATTGTGTGTTGTCTAAACTGTATAGCTACTTAACTGTTGCAATTATTTACTCTTAGAAAATAAACACACACAACTACACGATATTTATATCAAAGCAGAACCTTAGATAACTTGGGTTTTAGATAATCAAACCAGGGTTGGAAATGTGGCTTAGAGGTAGAGCATGCACAGACTCTTGGTTTGTTCCCCTTGGTTTGCACTGTGGGGGCGGGGCAGGGAACAGAAAGACAAACCCCACAGAATGACTTATAGCTCTAGAGAAATGAATTAATTATATAATTCCCCAAATTCAAAACTGGAAACAAACCAACACTCAAAAAACAGAATTATTCATCCCATTAGGCTATTGCTTATAAGTACTTGTGGTCATTGATTAAAAATCTTTTGGATTATCTAGAAAAGCCTACCATATTTCCTTTTAGGAGGCACATTCTTGTAATTTGGGACACAGCATTACTACTCAGCTTTCTGTTAAGTTCTTTCCAAGCACAGGTGACATTCTGTATTTCTTCAGGGCTTTCCAGAGTCATTGTCACAAATCCCTTAAGGGGAAAAAAAAAAAAAAAGTCACATTATGTTTGGGGAAAAAAATCAGTAGCAGCACAGGACAATGAAGTTCTATCTCTATAGACCTTTATGACTTAACTGCATTTCTTATGAACCAACAATATAACATGGCTGCTAAAAAATAACTTCTCTGAAACTAAATTAAAAGACTAATGTTTAGGGGCTGGGGCTGTGGCTCAGTGGTAGCACACTATCAACAAATAAAAAAGAAGACTAATGTTTATAGATCTTTGAAAGTATCATCTTTCTATGCAGTGTTGTAAAGACTGTATTTAATTCTTACCATCATGCTTTATAAGAGAATTAAACAAAACAGCATCAGAGAATAATAAGGTAGTGAAGACTAAAGGAAACACTGAAAGAGTTTTTAAAAAGTTACCTTGGAGTGGAAGAACATAATAAAAAGGAAAAAAATCTCTCTGAACTTTTGAAGTACTATACTAATTAAGTATACTACTAATTAAATAACCAAAAATTACTTGTTTTGTAAACCTTCACCGAACAGCAAAAGGACCATCATGAAGAAGATAAAGAAATGTAAAAGGAGAACAAGCTATTATAGAATGCATCAGGGTGATTGGGAAAGACCTTTCTGACTGGGGATGTGGCACAATGGTAGAAGCCCTGGGTTCAAACACTAGCACCACAAAAAAAAAAAAAAAAAAGACTTCTCTGATATGGTAATGAATGAAGTCAAGGAGGAAGCCATTATGAAGAGGTAGGTTAATGTTTTGAGTAAAATTAAATAGGTTAGCCAGGTGAAGTGGTACATATCTGTAATCCCAAAGACTCAGGAGGCTGAGAGACAGGAAGATGTCAAGTTTGAGGCCGGATTCAGCAAATTAGTAAGACATTGTCTCAAAATAAAAAGGACCAGGTATGGTGGCACATGCCTGTAATCCAGGAACTCCGGAGGCTGAGACAGGAGGATCATGAATTCAAAGCCAGCCCGAGCAAAGCAACTGAGTGAGACCCTGTCTCTAAATAAAAATACAAAATAGGGCCGAGGATGTGGCTCAGGGTTGAGTGTAGTATGGGGATACAGCCCAGAACTAGAGCACACCTGAGTTCACTCCATAGTACTACAAACAAAACCAATATGGTTTAAATATTGTTTTAAGATATTATACATTTAAGTATTCGGTGAGTTATTGGGATAGAATATCTGCTTGATGCTAAAAGTATCACCCCACAGATTACTAATTAAGAGAGTAAAATATTCTTTGAAAATGGAAATATATGGCAATTGCCAACAAACAAGCAATCAAACTAAGTATACTACTAAAGCAATATGACATATGCTTCTTGATATGATTCACTATGAAGTATACAGTTTTATATATAACATACTCTTGCCAAAAAACATTTAGCCTGAATATAAAATCAAGCTTTGACATATGCAATGTGACTCTGGATAAAGGCAAAAATAAATTATGCAAGAAAAATTTTGGACAAATCCAGAAAGTGAGATCTTCTAACAGACAACTGACCTAACTCTTTACAAATTCAAAGTCATGAAAAATAAAAAAGATGGAAAATTGTTCTAGACTAAAAGATACTAAAAAGACACAATAACCAAAATATAACATAAGAACCTTAACTAGAATTCTGATTTTTCACACACACATAAATGGAGAAACAATTGGACATATGGTTAACTTCCAACAAAATGACATTTGGCACAACTATTAATATCTGCCACAAGAAAACCATCAGATGCTCCATCTGCACTCATTTATGCTACACCAAATGTCACAAGCAAATTTATCTGCCCTGCCCCATTTCTCCCTCCTCCCGGCCATAGGGATGGCTGCCCAGAATTACTCTGTCCTATCATTCTAATATCCTGTCAACAGGCTATTATTGTCTTATAAAGATTCCAAGACCAAATTCATGTGCACTCTTTTCTTTCTCTACATCAGAGAGATTTTACTGATGAGTCTCTGCATACTAGGATTCTGCTCACTTATACCCAGAGAAGTAATAAATCTTTAAACTACTTGCTACCAATGGCTCTTATGTGTTTTTTTTTGTTTGTTTGTTTGTTTGTTTGTTTTGGTACCAGGGATTGAACTCAGGGACACATCCTCAGCCCTATTTTGTATTTTATTTAGAGACAGGATCTCACTGAGTTGCTTAGTGCCTTGCAATTGCTGAGGCTGGCTTTGAACTTGCAATTCTCAGCCTCCCCAGCCCAAACCATTGGGATTATTGATGTGATATGTTTTGATATCTGACACCAACCTGGCAGTGGGCCATGTCAGTCAGTGTTATACACACAGATCCTTCCACATAGAATCCCTACTTCGTATTCTATTATGTTATGATGTCACCTGCACAGAATCTGTTTCTCACTTTGCATGATTTCATGGCAACAAAATGAAGTATAGATTCTGTTATGCAAGTTTCAGTTTGCACAGTGCTGTGCAAAGTGAGGATTTCCTATATTTTACTCTACATACACATTTTTGAAATAAACAAATCTGCATATTTATTAGATATAAGATGATTAATATAGAACTATTATTTTTTTTGGTGGTGCTGGGGATTGAACCCAGGGCCTTGTGCATGCAAGGCAAGCACTTTACCCAACTGAGCTATATTCCCTAGCTCATTTTTGTAGGTGAGACTATGATATTGTGATTATGTAGACAAGAATCTTCATCATTAGAAGAAGCAAGTTGAAATACTTAGGAATAATGTCATAATGTTTCAACTTACTTCCAAATGGTTTAGCAAAAAAAAAAAAAAAAAAAAAAGTATATTCAAAAACAAAGCAAATGTAACACAATATTGACAATTGTTGAATCTAGGTCATTATTTATTGCAATATTCTTTCAATTTTTTTTTCTGTAGGCTAGAAAATCTGGAAGATGGCTATCAAAAAAAAAAATTTAGCAGAGTGTGGTAGTGCAAGCCTTTAATCCCAGTGGCTTGGGAGGCTGAGAAAGGAGGATCACAAGTTCAAAGCCAGCCTCAGCAAAAGCGAGGCACTAAGCAATTCATTGAGACCTTGTCTCTAAGTAAAATACAAAATAGGACTGGGGATGGGGGCTCACTGGTCGGGTACCCCTGAGTTCAATGCCAGATACTGCCTCCATCACACCCCCTAAAAAATTTAGGGGTGGAGGAAAATGAGAAGGTCAATTTCTAATAGAGCAAAACAGTTTTCTCTGCACAGAAAGTGCAATTTATTGAAGGGAGTAAATGCAACACTCATTGATTATGCAATTACTGCTATAGCTCAATTTTATCCCTTTCCCAACCAAATACAATTATTTCACAGACTTCTACCTTATCAGAGGTGATCAAAGACCGTGGTTCAAAGCTTGATGCACCAGAAATGTGGGCTAATGCTGCAGCCAATGCATCCACTGCCCCTTTCTCTTCTATCAGTCTCTGAGCTGATGGTCGGAAAAAATCAACAGCAGCAAAAGAAACAGAAGCCAGAGACCTACGGTTTAAAAATAGTAAATTTTCTTGGTCATGACAGGGAAAAAAAGATGAGATAATGAATGGGAAAAGAAAGAGTAATGTTTTCATATATTAATATAACTAAATGTCTGCTGGTAAAACTGGTGATTAAAATTTTCTGATATTTGAACTAGAAGAGCTTAAAGATGAATAGCCTAATACAAAAGCAAAAATTATTCAGCAAGGTCAGAAAGCATACCTGATGGCATCCATGCTTTTAGATTTAACTAAATCCATTGTAGAAGGAACACCTACACGTTTAAAAGTAATTCCCTGAAAATGAAAGAATTACATTAAAGAAAAATGGAATTTGTTACAATTAATTCCTAAACTAATATAGTTTGTTGAATTTCCATTTCTTGGAAGATTTCCAAGTCTTAGTGGATAAAAAGATCTGCTTTTTCTAATAATCTATTATAAATTTCAAAAAGTGAAAACAATTTTTTTGAATTGACCCTTAGTTACAATTATGGAATTTGACTTGCAAAACAAAGCTGATTCAAAAAAAAAAAAAATTATTTAAATCAATCAAATTTTTCCCTTATTACTCCCATCTCAATTTACAAAGTTTATGAGATAGTATATAAAAAATATTATAAAATAGGAGAAAATGTGAAATACTACAAAAAAATCTGGAACACAGAAATTGTACAATTTTTATAGACACTGGCTATTACATAATTATATTATGGCAAATATAATTTTAATTTTAAATTATTATACCAAAACAATGTCACAGTCACCCATTTATAATTCTGTAATGGTGTATGAAATCGCAACACACTTATTTCAATAACAAGGGAGAAATTAAAGAGAAAAATGAGAAAGGCAGCTCTTCTATCTTCACAACAAAAGCTGTATTAAAACAGTCTTGTAGCTAATATAAATTTAGCTCTCCACATGCTTCACATCCAAATGCAGCTTAAACTGAGAAAAGTTAAGAAGATCTATTTGTGAGAACAAATATAAAAAGAGCCCTTTTCTAAGGCACCATTTAGATAATAAGCCTGAAATAATTCAACTTTACTTACTGCTTTTTGTTCCACATATCTTAGTTGACCTCTTTCTCTTGGTTGATAAAAACATATGCAAATTCCAGTCCGACCAGCTCTACCTGTGCGTCCAGAACGATGGATATAGGACTCAACATCCTGAAAATTAAAAAAGAAAAATACTTTTTAAAATTATGACAAACTCCACAGTCATCCCAACATCCAAATAATGAAATAATCAAAATAACAATAATTAAATTTTTATTTCAATCCTGTTGGGCTTTTCAACATGCCAAATAATTTATATGCTAGAATTTTGGGATACAGGGGATGGTTTTAAGCTTTCTAACCATCTCTTCCAGAGTTCTTAACATAAACTTTATATAATTCCTTTATATGATTTTGTTGATCCAAATTTCAAATTCAAAAAGTGAAGTTAATCACTGAAAAGGCCATCAGATTCGGATCAATTTAACACCATAGTAACAAAAAAATACCCGAAAGCAAGAATGATGGACATATTTTTCATATTTCAAGCAATACTTGTAAATAAGATAGCAATTTATAAAACTGCTCGTTTTCCCCAGACCAAATCCCATTTCCTACCTGTGGAGGAGAACTTTGAATCACCAGGTCAACTTCAGGAATGTCCAAACCACGGGCAGCCACATTGGTTGCCACCAAAACTTTGAAACTACCTTCTCTGAAGCCTTTTAGTGTAATTTCTCTTTGTGACTGTGCAATGTCCCCATGCAAACACTGAGCATTCTATTGAAAAAAGAATCACAATTACATATTACAGTTCGTACTTGCAACTGATAGCACCCTAACATCATTCAGTCAGTGCTCTTTTTATCTTTTAATTTCCTTTTCTCAATGACTGTAACAATGCATGCTAGTTTTTTTTAAATCAAACATTATAAAAATATTTAACTAAAACATAAAAGTGTCCCTAAGATCACGCTCTTAGAAATAATTTACTGCTACATGCCTGTAATTCCAGCAGCTCAAGAGGCTAAGCCGGAGGATCTCAAGTTCAAAACCAGCCTCAGAAACTTTGAAAGACCCTAAGCACCTTAGCAAAACTCTGTCTCAAATTTTTAATAAAGGGCTGGGGATGTGGCTCAGTGGTTGAATGTCACTGGGTTCAATCCCTGGTACCAAAAAAAAAAAAAAAAAGGAAAGAATTCATTCCTAACACTCTGTCATTGTTTTTTTGTTTATTTTCTTACAGTGCTGGGGACTAAACTCAGGTCTTCATTCATGCCAGGCAAGCACTATACCACTGAGCTACATCCCCAGCCAGCAGATTTTTTTTAAAATACATATACATATTATCCCATGTTATCTGCATACACTAACAGATAACATAGTTTTATATTTTGGGGTATTAGGGTTTTTTTTTTAAGTACTAGAGATTGAACCTAGGGGCACTCTACCACTGAGCTTCATACCCAGACTTTTTAAGTAACAAATTTCTCTTTTTAAAATCCAAGATAGAGTCTTGTTAAGTTGCCCAGGCTAGGCTCAAACTTGAGGTCCTCCTGCTTCAGCCTCTTGAGTTCTTGGGATTTACAGGCATATACCACTGTGCCTAAACCACGGGCACAGTGTTTCTGTATAAAAAGGAATCATATTTTATATATACTGTTTTGCAACCTACTTAAAAATTTTAATACTATAATATAAACCTTTTTTCAGATCCATAGAGGCAACTTTACTTAATTATTAAAAAGCTTTTTTTTTTTTTTAAAAGAGAGAGTGAGACAGAGAGAGAGAGAGAATTTTAACATTTATTTATTTTTTCTTAGTTCTCGGCGGACACAACATCTTTGTTGGTATGTGGTGCTGCTGAGGATCGAACCCGGGTCGCACGCATGCCAGGCGAGCGCGCTACCGCTTGAGCCACATCCCAGCCCTAAAAAGTATTTTTAAATACAGTTTTTACATATGGATGTAGTGAGTGGCATTTACTTTAACAATATCCCACTGATGAACATTTGAGTTTTATCCAAATTTTCACCTTTAGAAACGACACTGTAGTGAACAAACTTGTACTTATATTTCTGGATACCTCTGTATATGTGTATTTCAAAAGATTATATGTTTAGAAGTTGAATTTCTGGTTCAAAATTAATGAACATTTGGGGCTAGAAATGTAGCTCAGCGGTAAAGCAGATGCCTAGCATGCACATCTGGGTTCAATCCCCAGAACCATAAAAAATAAAAAAGAACATTGAGTGTCTAGAGATATAGCTCAGAGTTGGTAGAGTTCTTGCCTCACATGCCCAAGAACCTGGGTTCAATCCCCAGTAACCACCCATAAAAAAAGTAAATAAAAATATAATAATAGGGGCTGGGAATGTGGCTCAAGTGGTAGCACGCTCGCCTGGAATGCGTGCGGCCCTGGTTCATCCTCAGCACCAAAGATGTTGTGTCTGCCGAAAACTAAAAAAAATAAATATTAAAAAATTCTCTCTCTCTCCCTCTCTCTCTAAAAAAAAAATAATAATAATAAGAAGAAGAACATTGAACAGCTAACTACTGACTAATTTTTATAAAAAGAAATTGTGCCCCATTAACTTTTTATATACTGCAAGAGTTTATTTCATTATACCCTACCTGCCCTATATATTATAAATGATAACTTTTGTTAATCCAATAGGCAAAAATAACTTTCTGCCAGGCAATGGTGGCACACACTTGTAATCCCAGTTACTAAAGAGGCTGAAACAAGAGAATCTTGAGCTCTAGAGCAGCATGGGCAATTAGTGAGTCCTTTTCTCAAAATTTACAAAAGGGTGAGCTAGAGTAAGTATTTTGCCTAGCTTCAATACCAGTACTGCGGGGGGGGGGGGGGAATCCTCAATGCTGTTTTAATTTGTACTTTTGTAATTTATTTATTTATTATTTTTTAGTGGAGTCCTGGGGATTGAACCAGAGATGCTTAACCACTAAGCCACATCCCCAGCCCTTTTTATTTTTTATTTTGAGACAGAGTCTTGCTAAGTTGCTTAGGTCTTCACAAAATTGCTGATGCTGATTTTGAACTTGAGACCCTCCCATCTCAGCCTCCCTAGTCACTGGGATTACAGGTGTGCACCACTATTGCACTTCTGTTATTTTTAGCAAAGCTGAACCTATTTAAACTAGGTTGATCTTCCATTTGTGCTCCAAATAATTTTCCTAATACTATGAATAAATTACCTTGTATTCCTTGCCACTATTAAAAAGTTCATAACAATGATTTAACCCCAACAGTACATGCCTTAGTATCTAAACTTACTGCATAATGAGTGAATTCACTGTGTACCTGCTATGTGCCTGAGATTGTATTAGTTTCTGGAACATTCATAAAGAAATAGTTTAGAACACACAATTTGATAGGTATCTTCAAAACAGTACAATAGCTGGGCACTGTGGTGCATGCTTGTAATCACAGTGACTCAGGAGGCCAAGGCAAGAGGATCATAAGTTCAAAGCTAGCCTCAACAAAAGCGAGGCACTGAACAACTCAGTGAGATCCTATCTCTAAATAAAATATAAAATAGGACTGGGGATGTGGCTCACTGGTTGAGTGCGGGAGTTCAATCCCCAGTAACAAAAACAAAACAAAACAAAACAAACAAACAACAAAACACCCAACAGTATGATATGTGCCACGACAGGTATATATTTACATCATGCTACAGAAATATCTAAGGGGAAATCTGACTATTATTATTTTGGAGATACTGGGGATTGAACCCAGGGCCTCATACTTGCTAAGTGGGAAACATGTCTGAAACTGAGACCTGAATGATTTAAATAAAGAACTAGGAGTTGGGGCTGGAGTTGTAGCTCAGCGGTAGAGCACTTGCCTAGCATGTGTGAGGCAGGGTTTAATTCTCAGCACCATATGTAAATAAGTAAATAAAATAAAGGTCCATCAACAACTAAATAATATTTAAAAAAAAAAAAGAACTAGGGGTCATGTAAATGAAAGAACAGAAAGCTAGGAAGTTTCAGGTTAGAAATATCATGTATGTCTGTCATGTATGTCTGGGGAACTACAAATGTTATAGTACACTACTACTGAAACAGATTAAGAAGGGGTAAGTGATAAGAGATGAGACTGGGAAAGGAATATGACCTTTATCTTAAGGACAAGGTGAAACAATTAAATGATTCTAAAGAAAACTATCACAAACACACTTATAATATAGAAGGAATACTCCAGCTATAGTGTATCTATACACTATATCACTATATCTATAGACAAAACACAAACTGCAAAAATTCAGAAGAGATGTCAGGCCCTAGGATAGTGATAATGACCACCTATTCACTCAACAAATATTTAGAGACATACTACATACCAGGCATCAGGATTTAAAAGGTGAACACACAAGGGGATGGAGGATATGGCTTAGTGGTAAAGTGTCCAGTATGTGTGAATGTGTGAGGCCCTGAGTTCAATCGCCAGTACCACTTTAAAAAAAAAAAAAAAAGGTGAACATGGTAAGACTGCCTGTCTTTATGGTCTTTTATGGTCTTCATACTCCAGTAGGGGAGAAGGACATGAAATAAATAATTAGACACAGAAATAAATTTATCCAGCAAGTAAGTGTAAAGAATGAAGCATCAGTCTAAGAATCAAGAAGCACTTATCCAAACCTGACCTAGTTTGGGGCACGGAAGGATTTCCTGAAAAGTGATGCTTTGGACTGAGATGTGAAAGACAAGAGGAACTTGCTAAGTGAGGTGGACTGCAAGTTCAAGAGCCCTGTGGTGACATGAAGCATAACATGTATGAAGAGAGTGCAAAAAATGGGGAGCAAATGTGATAATAAGATGAGGCTAGAAAGGTAAATAGGGTAACAGAATTTGAAAACTATTACTTGACAAAATTGGGAGGATTTGGTATAGAGAATAGAAATGAAGTACAAAGAAAAAAAGACATTTATGATTCCCATGTTTTGAGTTTCTGCAATGGAAGTAGAAAATAAATAAACCATAGGAAACAGAATGCAAAAATACTCGTCGATAACTGAATTGCAAATGGTGAGGAAGAAAAGTCAGGGGGTAATATATAAGTTTCACTTGGGCTATAGGTAGATATATCATTCAAAGATAGGGAACAATGGAGCCAGTTGAGGGGCCATTGGAGTGTAAAAAAGAATGAATTCATTTTAGGTCATAATGAGTTGGGGATTATGTGGCCAATAGAATAAATATAGGCCTAGTATTGGAGAGACATATCTAACTGAAGAAAGATTTGGGATTATAAGCAAACACACAATGACTAAAGTCATAGAGTGATTAGATATGTGTATCTATGCATACATACCTATACTTCTATATTTCTACATTTATGGACTGCTTGCTACAAACTACTGTGCTAAACGTCTCAAATAAATGGTTTCATTGAAATGTTGAAACTGTAAAACAAAACAAAACAAAAGTGATTTTTAATACCACTTCTTTAAAAAAGGAAGCACAGGCACAGAAATATGAAGTAACTTTGCTCAAGCTGCGTAACTAGAAGGTAGTACACTGAGATTTAAAACTTGACCTGACTCCGAAGTCTATGCTATCAGGTTGAATATCCTTAATTAAAAAATTGGAAGTACACCTGGGGGCAGTAGCTCATGCCTGTGATCCCAGCAACTTGGGAGGCTGAGGCAGAAGATCACAAGTTCAAGGGCAGCCTTGGAAACTTATGGAGATGGGAGACCCTGTCTCAAAATAGTTTTCAAAAGGGCTAGGAATGGGATTGGGGCTCAGCA